ATAATTGTGCAGTTTGAGTTTGGTTTAGATGATAAACAATAAATTGGCACAAAATAAACTCATCCGTTATTCAGGGCCACCAAGGCTGCTGCAATTAATTCCATGAGGGTTACAGGCGAAAATCTGAGAAGAATTGAGCGGACTACAAGGTCAGTTTAAACAAAATAGAATTTAAACAAAAAAGAATTTAAATGAAATAGAAGTTAAACAAAAAAAAACTGTTCTCGCTGGTCTTATTGTAATAATTATCGAGTTACATAATCGTTATATATATATATATATATATATATATATATATATATATATATATATATATATATATATATATATATATATATATAAAGAATACAAATCATATGGCGAATAACAACCCTCTCAAGCGTACTGGATCCACCAAGGGATCACGTTTGTCAGGGATTAATTAAAATAGATGCAATAAACTGACGACAAACAGTACGAAACTAGTAACTAACTAGCCTAAGCGCTTTCGACTCTTAATGAGTCTTTTTCAAAGGCAAATACAAAACATAGTTACGACAAACAAATAAACACAAAAACGTTGCGTTTGTAAACCTCTACATTTCTATCTTCACATGTGCTAAAACTATAAATACAACCAGCTTGTATAGACTAGTTGCGGAAACTGAAAACGTTGTATAATTCCCTAAAAGTCTACAAGCCAAAGCGACATCTATTTTTACTTTGTGTACATATGTAACGCAGATTATATCCCGGATATTTGGTTCTATACCGGTTATTCTTATAGTAAAAATTGAAGGATAAGAAGATTTAGAAAATGTTAAATTCTACTAGGGCATAGTTTTCATTTTCTAGTCTTCTTGGTTTAGACCGCTTGGTTTCAATGTTCTAAGGCGGCGTATCCAGTATGATTCCTTTTCCTTCCTGGTTTCGGAACTCCAGCTGTGGTTGTTGGCAATAGCGATAAGTATTATATCACTGAAAGTGTGGCCAGGGGAGGAGAAGTGTTCTGCGACCGGGCTTCTGTACAGCTTTTTTGTCATCCAATCAGATCTATGAAGGTTTATCCTTATGTGTAGCTTTTCAGTTTCTCCCACGTACTGAAGGCCACAGATCTTACATGTGATGAGATAAATCACATTCTCTGTTTTGCACGTTTTGTTTGGACCATGTATGTTTAGTTTTTCTTTAGTCACTGTGCTAGTGAATGTCTTGGTCTCTATCATATGTTGACAGGTTTTGCATCTTTTATCGCCACAGGGTCCAGATTGACTAGGTTGGTTTTGACTAGCGATTGTTGTTAGCTTGGCCCTGACTAGGATGTCCTTTAGGTTTTTTTGGTCTCCGGTAAGCTACTACAGGTTTGTTCGGAAGTATTAGGTTTAGTATGTCTGACGATTGCACGGTTGGCCAGTGGTTTGCGATGATTTTACCTACTTTGGGATTGTCTGGGTGATAGGTCAGAATAAATGGTATCCTATCAACCTTTTCTTTCTGTCCATATCTGAGTAGGTCATCTTTGTTTGTTTGGCCCTTTGGATTGCCTCCGCAATCAGGTCTTTGTCGTAGCCTCGGTAAATTAAATGTTTAGCCAGCTCTTCAGACCTTTCTAGGAATCTTTCATCGTCGGAGCAAATTCTGCGTATCCTCAGTGCCTGGCTATATGGAATGTTCTTAATGCAGTGTTTTGGATGACAGCTGGTTGGGAGAAGATACTGGTGTTTGTCGGTTGGTTTCGATATGTATATATATATACATGTATGTATGTATGTATGTATGTGTGTGTGTGTGTGTGTGTGTTCGTGACTATCGCTTGTCGAGTCGTGAAAAAAGGAATCTAAATAAGACTAATTCGAAACTTGGTTTTTATTTTGGACCTATCTTGGCTCTGGACTTATTACCATTCTCCGCTCTGTAGTCATGCTAACCATAATTAAAATTGTACATGTTACCCCTTGCAGTCATTGTAAGGTTTTGACCCCATGACATATTATTTTTTTGTCTCGCTTGCATTACAAAAATAGCGAGACGCAAAAATTTAATTGATGCTAATGACATAATATTTATTTTGTCTTGCATGCATTACAAAAAAAAACAAAACGAGACTTAAAAATTTAATTGCTGCTGGAGACAGCGGCAGCGACATTAACTAATATCGGTATTTTTTATTTTATTAAAAATTTTGTTTGAAAGTTGTTGAAAATTGTATAGTGTACTGTATATTGTTTTTTTTTTTTTTTTGTTGCAGGTAAGAAATTCTCTTACAAATATTACATCACTGGACGTACAAAAGGTTAGTCGAAGACAGCGGGGGAAAAAAATGGTTGGAAAATAACAACAAAGAATCGGTTTTGTTTCCCCAAGATAGAGTATGGTTTTAATGACATAGTTTTATGAGTAGCGAAATAACAGAGATTTTCTGTCTGAAACTGTTGCATAATGAATGTCTGCACTCGAAGTCGAATCCAAGTTTTTCTCCTGTTTTTGACAAGTACACCCAAACATTCATCCTAAAGACCCTTACTTTTCATCACTGTTGTAATGTTGATATTTGGCAAATATATTTTTACCAGATGTAATCACATTGAGTGACATGTTTACCACAACATGGCTGTTTCAGCCGCGAACAAAACAGAAAACTCATTACTTTCTTCCAGAGAAATAAAATATTACAATACCCAGACAAGGTATTCCGATTACTGTATCCATGCTGGTTGAGGTATTCCACTTGATGTATACATGCTTTGTCCGGTCATAATATTCAAGTGACTATCCATATTTATGTCCGGTCATAGCATTCCAATGACTGTATCCATGTTAATGTCTGCTCATGTTATTCCAATAACCGTATTTATTGTTATGTTCGGTCATAGTATTTCAATGAATGTATCGATACTTAATGCCCAGTCATGGTATTCCAATGACTGTATCCACTTTTAATGCCCAGTCATGGTATTCCAATGACTGTATCCACTTTTAATGCCCAGTCATGGTATTCCAATGACTGTATCCACTTTTAATGCCCAGTCATGGTATTCCAACAGGCCCGGCCCTAGGATATTCAGGGCCCAAGGCAGAATGCCCGGCCCAAAGCAGCAAGCTGTTACCGCCGAACCCCAAAGCAAACAAAATTGCATTTGCGGTTGCCTCGTTCGCCTTGCCCTCGGGCCGGGCCTGTATTCCAAGGAATGAACCCATATTCATATCCGGACATCGTATTCCAATGACTATGCGTACTTATGCCCAATCATCGTATTCCAATGACTCACTGTATCCGTACTTATGCCCAGTCGTGGTATTCTAATGACCGTGTATTCATGCTTATGAATAAATTGTACAGTTATTAGTATTGGTATAAAATTGACTTAGTCACTTATAGATTACTTTATGTACGAATATATTACCTATAAAGCAACTGTCATGTGACCTTTCCCTTTGGAGTAGACTGGTTTTAATTTTTTTGGAAAAGCTAAGTAACTCGAACTCGTTACTTATCCTCCTACGCGTTGTTTCTCATTCTTCACTTAACAAAATACAACGTCATGAGAGGTTCATCGGCTTCAGAAATGGCATGTAAAAAGCAGGACATAGATAGTTCAGTATATATTCGTCGTTAAAAATAAGGATTTGTATTGAAATACCAGCACGCTCATACACACTTTGGTGTGTCTGCACGGAATTGGATTTGTTCTTATGATCACTATGTAATAGCAGAAGAATGATATCCACGTTAGGATTGTGCATACAATTTCATCCTTTGTTGCAAGTTAGGATTTATTTTTGTCTACCATATGTGCAGTTTCTAACATAGATGATATGATTTAGAGTGTATAACAAAATATTGAGCTCATTTTGACGAGTTGTTGTGTCTAGAATGTTTATCATACAGTATAATGTAGGAATTTAAATTTAAAATAATTCAATGATAGAATACGTGGGATATCATATGTCTTCCATTAGGATTTTGCCTGTGTGATTCTTGTTGTCGTCTTTGGCAGGGAAAAATGCCAAGTAGAAAAAAGAAAACATCGTTTAATTATGTTTTTTCAGGGAAAAATCTTTGCAGAAAACTACACAATTATACGTAAAGATTCTGACCTTAGACACTTAAGAAACGCACAATACCTATAAAAGAAAGAACATAAAACTTACCCTCTGATCCAAAATTTTGTTTACAGGAACAAATGTTTGAATTTTGTATAATACCATAATATATTTATTTATACAAGTATTAATGAGATTGTGTCATCGTGCAGGATTGCTTATACCAGTATTCATGAGATTGTATCACAGTATAGGATTGCTTATACCAGTATTCATGAGATTGTATCACAGTCTAGGATTGTTTATACCAGTATTCATGAGATTGTATCACAGTCTATGATTGTTTATACCAGTATTCCTGAGATTTTATCACAGTCTAGGATTGTTTATACCAGTATTCATGAAATTGTACCACAGTAAAGGATTGTTTATACCAGTATTCATGAGATTGTATCACAGTCTAGGATTGTTTATACCAGTATTCATGAAATTGTATCACCGTCTAGGATTGTTTATACCAGTATTCATGAGATTGTATCACAGTCTAGGATTCTTTATACCAGTATTCATGACAATCACAATGCTGGATTGTTGATAATGCTAGTATTCATTAGACAGCATAATATGACAGTTTTTATAGCAAAATTCATTAGTATGTATCGCAAGGCGGGATTGTTTATACTATTATCGTTTGGGATTGGAAGAACAGGATTATTTATACCAGTATAAATGAGGTAGTATCACAGGGCAGGTTTATTTATACCAGTATGCTTGAGGTAGTATCACAGAGCATGATTCTTAATACCAGTATAGATGATGTAGTATCACAGGGCAGGATTGTTTATACCAGTATTCATGAGTTTGTATAAAGTCATGCTGATATAGGTAATGTGAGATTGATGTGCAGAGGTAAGAGTTTTTTTTTGTTTTTTTAACAAGATTTTAAAAGAAGACTCTTTTATTCATTATACCGCTCCGGTGGCCTAGTGGTTAGAGTGTCCGCCTCGGATGAGGAAGGTCGCGGGTTTGAACCCCGAACCAAAAACTTTAAAAAACGGTATTACCAGCTGCCTCGATTGGCGCTCAGCTTTAAGAGGTTAGAATTAGGACTGGTTGACCTGTTGTCAGGATAATGTGACTGGGTGGGACATCATGCCACATCTCTGCGGCATGATGCCCCAGTTCTAGATATCGCTATAAATCGCTATAAACTATTACACTGCAGACATCGTAGCGATATGACTGTAAAATTGTACAAGCTACAACGCTAGGCCAACTGACCATCTTTATCTCGTCTCCCTGATTTAAAAGAGACTCATGAGCTCAGATATATGTGCAAGCTATGGCGAGTCCATCTCCGATGGTTTGTATGCACTCATCTCTGTTTCTAAATTATGTTGATGAACCTCTCTATAAATTATGTGCTTTTTTGTTTATCGTCCCTCGTTATTTCCATCATTTCGATAAACATTTTGTCAATATTGTTGTTGTTTTTTCCTTAAATTTTCCCATTGAAGAGACGCTCCAATTTGTCATTATCCATTAAATATGACCAGACTATTCACGATATCATGGCTGATATTTTACATCGAGTATCCTATTGGATAATCGGGCTACTGTCCCAGATAAGTTATGCTTCACGAAAACAAAACTGAGCGTGACGAAAATTGGTTCTAACTAACGACTAACGATGTTATATTAAATATCATGACAATTTCCTACTTTGAGCACAAAAAAACCCAATTTCTTTTATTGAATGGTGTTGGTTTTCTGTGTCCGTAAGAAACAAAATCAGAGAATTTCGATTCTTGTGAAAATAGCTGTTTGGGTCACTAGTCAAAAACTTTAATTGGTCTGAATTACTAGAATTTTATATTCTAGAAAGACGTACGGTTAGTCGCCTAAATGACAAGAAACAGTCTTTCTGGGATAGCGTCGGTTTCAAAATCTAGTTGGATGATACACGACTGAATTCACCGGAAAAGAAAAGAAAAGAAAAAGAATTCTTATATGGAGCTGAAAAGACGCTGGAAAAAAAAGACGTGACTGTGAATCTATATTCAGTTTGTGCAGTAAGCGCATTAGTCATGACGGCCAGGATGGTTTTCGTTTGGTTTGGTTTTGGTGCTTTATGTCACAGCAACGCAAGTAGACAGACAATTGGAGTAACGAGCCTTGCTCGAGGACACATCACATTAGATGACCTAGACTGGTCCCATAGGAGGATTTGAACTCTTTAGGTCGAGAGTAATACACGCTAAAGACTAGTCACAGACATATTACAGTGTTCACATTTTTCAACAAACGTCAGTCTGGATTGAAAAGTGCTACTTAAATGACAGTGCATCTGAACATTTACAAACTGATAAGAGGGCTCCATGGAATTATGTTCAGGAACATAGTAGTTCAGCAAACATGTTTTGTAAATTTTGTTAGAAAAATTATTTGTATCTTATCCCCGTTATAGTTATGACGAACTATAATGTTTCCATAATATTAGTAGTAATTATTTGGAAGCAAAACAGAAACAGCAGAGTACTAAAATATCACTACTCTAGACCACAGCTAATTTGCTCTGACTACTTTTCTCTGGAACATGCCATGTCTAATTACGTATTTCTAGTCGCGCGTCACCCAGAAGCTCTTGATATGCAATAAAGCTATGTCCAAATTCCATTCAAACTCGTGCTTTTTACCCGTGTGTCCTTGACCACTATTCTGCCAACTGAAAATATTTAATGCATTACCTTATTGCAGGCTTAATAGTAAATTTGTGGGAAAATCTGGATTTATGTCCGTCACCAACTGACACTATATCACACATAGAAATTTAAATGGACATGTGTGATGTGTCGAATTTTGAAAACTCTTAGAAGCATCGATTAAATGAATTGTACCCAAGTCAGTACAAAGGGCTAGAGACAGTTATGTGATTATTTTCATTTCATCTCTGAACGTCAAAGGAAATTCGTTCCACGCGACAAAACTTGACTGAGTCACATGCTATGGTACAAGGGTTTGGCATAACACTCTTAAAAGGGGAAGCTCGTCAATAATTGATTGTTCCATGGAACGTTAATTACAGCATGATTAGCTGTTTTGTCAATCGAAAATTCTACGTAGAAGAGTTAGGAAACAGTCGATTCTGATTGGTTAATAGGAACTTATGTGCGTAACTCTGTAAGGAATTAAGAGTTTTGCTTTAAAAAATTATTTAGTCTTCAATCCTTCTTGCGAGAAGTTAGGGGACTCCGGGAACGTAAAGTACGTTTTTCCCATTATTGAGTAAGGGGCCAATTAGTCGTCTCAGATAGGAGACAGACTATACGTTGGAGGTTCGTGGAAACGAATAAGAAACGGCAAAAGTTACGCAATCTTCTAGTTTCCCAATTTTAATATGCTATTTCATGTGTTGATTTACTTGCAAATGTATTGATGTTATGATGTATGTATGTATGGTTTCATTTTTCAGGGTTTTAGTGAAATGTTAGTCACGATATTTTATTCTTTGATTTTCTTATTATCAATTTATTAATTCAATGTTCGTTGAGACAATTGACAAGATTGCATGTAATTGAATCTTCGATACATTGGAGCACTTACGAATTTGCGAGAATTAAGCTTAATAAATGATGGGTAATGTTTTGTAGTTTTATGAATTAAATCTCTGTCTTGTATGACATGTATTGAGTGTATATTCATATATTAGTTTGTAACATTTAATTGATCTATTGAGTGTATATTCATATCCTAGTTCGTAATATTTAATTGATCACGTCAGCTATTTTAGAATAGTTAGAGTTGAGGGACTAAGCCATATGAAATTTAACACTACAAGATAGTTTAATGTAAGAAGTCAAGAAGTGTTAAATACAGGTACATACGTGGTAGCCGTGAAGTAGAATTGAATGTTCCCAGCTAGCGTGACCCGAATTAAGATCAGGACATGCAATGGCCGTCTATGTTTGTAAACATAGGAATTAGTAAATGAGTGAGTGCAACTAAACTTATGCCTTTTATTTTTCTGAGCCGAATAATTGTAAAAATATAAATATATAATTGTAAATGTGACCGTTTGTCTATTGCGAGACATTTTATTTAAGAAAGGAAACAGCTTCCTGAACTTTCCTGAACTGTCCTGATGCTTCCTGAAATTTTTTGAATTTTCCTGGAAGATCATGTACCAATTCCAAGTACTATAGCAAATTCGGAGCCGAAGTCTAGGTCTAAGTACGATCGTCAAATCAAGTTCGACCGGCAAGAGTCCAGGTCCAGACGACTAGACAAAAGTTGGCAGAGCAGGAACGAATGGAAGATTCGATGTCCGGATAATATAGGTGATGGTGTCGTTCATCGTTGATCTCAAGGTCACATCTCGTAGGCAATGACGAACCTGAAATAATTCTGTCACTGAAAAGTAATCGTAATGTGAAAATTGTTTTGTTTTTTATTTAAGTGCATGTTAGTACATTTTTCCTTCTTTTGTAACCAGGAAACTGATTTCTTTTCATTTTAAATTCTGTTGTTAAATTGATTAAATTTTGTATTTGTTCATTGAAATGGGGGTCCGTTGTCTTTATTTATTCAATATACTTGTTCAGAGATCTGCATTTTTCTTCCTACCCATTCACAGTTGTAAATTACATCGCGGGAGGTCATTCCCTAGCAACGAACCGTAGTGGAAGAGGTTGGTGTGTTTTGAACGCCACCAATTTACCACAACATGATTTTATCGTATTTTAACCAATATTTATGGAATTTTTGGATTATATTTACCAATTTTACTAGCTCATGTTGGAGTAATTTTCAAATAACGCAGCACCGACTATTGTTTTCTATTGTAACCTTATCAAAGCTTCCTTTTCCTGTGTAAGAGTTACCTGAATGATCTCAATGTTATATGCTTGTTTTACAAATTTTCCTTAAGGCTTCAGTTGCTCAACAATTGCCCTTTCCTAGAAACCATCAATTCTTTGTGATCGTTAATAGTAATAATTATGGAATGTTACTATAATTTCTGTTACTTTTTGCCCTACATGTCTACTATTACTATGATAAATCGAACTGTGACTTTGTGTCCTGTGACTTTCTATTCTATGTGTATTTGTGACATTTTTTCCTATGTGTATTAGTGACCTTTTGTCCTGTAACTTTCTGTCCTATGTGTATTTGTGATTTTTTTCCCAGTTTACTGGTTACATCTGCTCTGACGACAGATCAGTTAATTGACAAAGTTTAAGGTTATGATTTAAAATGAATAATCGTGTACCTTGAATCCTCACAACAGACAAACGAGATCCCGGTCTCAGAAAGTCATAGGACAAAAATTCCAAGTAACGATAGTGGGTATAAACTGATTTTGAAGTTACCTATATACTAAACATAGATTACGTAGATCTAACGATGGTAGAAGTGCATGCTTATGTTCAGCACTGAGTGTGGAGGTAGTTTGTCCACAGACTTGCAATACCGAAATCCAACTCCAGGCCAGCACCCTAATCACGCCTTTGACGAAACAAGTGTGAAAGTATTCCGAGTTTCCTCTGACCCTTGACACCACATTTTTGATGGTTTTTTTATGTTGTAGTGTAGGATCAGAGTTCGTTCCCTTTCAAAAGCTTGGAATTTGCCGACACCATTTGGTGTCGGCAAAGCGTACTCGCCAACTATCTAGCCTAGCGAATTTAAATGACTTAATATTGACCCATATTTACATTCAATCGATAAGGAAATTATTTATCTTCTCAGAAATACAAGCATAACACCGATTTTGTCTTTAACCCGTTGTCTGAAGAGACGAAACTAAAGTGTTGATGAATTTTTACCTCGTTCGCACCATATGTATTACTAGTCACATGACTAACTTATTCTTGCGGCTGATATGCATAAACGTCACAGATCAAATAGTCACGTGATAACAATCAACTACGTTGACATATAGTTTTAGCGTGTCCAGTCAGCCTCTTTCCAGGAAGATGCGACAACGACATATGTCGGGCTGCTTTTATCTCAATTAATATGTTGAATACTACATGATTTTTCTTGTT